ATGTATAGGTGGGTGGTTGGATGGATAAATTGATGTATAGATCGGTGCGTAAATGGATGGTTGGTGGATGGGGAGGCAGAGGATTTGTTGAAAGATGGCTTTAGCATTTAAACATTGTACTATTCTAATTTTGATGAATTTCTAAGAGCTGTTAGTTTGTTGTTTTAATTGTGAATTTAGATATCTACTGGTTTCTGTATTTTACAGAAAATTATCACCAATCCAAGGCCATCTTAAGGAGAGCCTGAGTCTGAGAGGCTCACGTGGTTGTTTTGTTCAACTGATTTGTCTCACAGTAGTTTAATTAGTGACACCTTGTGTAGGTGTCTGATAAGGGTGTTTGAGGTGAGACGGGCATTAAATTTAATTGCCTTTAGCTTTTCAAAAGTGACAAACTCTCACTTTGCCAAACTGTGTTACTGTGTAGTAGACCATTTCTTAATTTCCTCTTATAAATCACTGGCTTTTCTGTGTTGTACATTTTTTGACACTTATAATCTGTAATTGAAGACAGGCTTACAAAGGTAAAAGGCAAATGTCACCCGCACGAGTGTATTGGTGGGTAAAATTAAAAATGTTCTTTTATACAGATAAGATCTAGCGATAATTACAAGACAAATACTATTTTTAGAATTAATGAGTTTCCCAAACCATCACAAAACTCCACCGAGTTCCCCTCCTCCACCAAGCCAGACCCATATGTATAATATCAGAGTCGTGCAGAACAACACAATAGCCCTAAGTGTAAAAAAGTATTTTGAACAAAATCAATATTGACCCAACACATTTTCGCTGTGTCCTGAAAATGGGTTTTATTGTCTCCATGTTGATTTATTCGCTGCCACAGCCAATATTAACTAACGTTAGAGCAGATTTGCTCATTGGCTTCTCGGTTTTTTTATTTTTTATTTTTATATAGTGTACCTTATCAGTGTAGGTATATCCACACGGACATACAGTGCACGCGGTGACAATGGGAATCTAGAAAGGGATCACAGGTGTTAACAGGAAATGCCTCCAGGATTCATTTTTATGACAGGTGTGAAGAGTCCACAGTGAGAAGTGAACAGCTGTAAATTTTTAATTGGATCTCTTTGGATGGGTTGTATCAAAACTGGATGTGCCTTGTGTTTCACAATGTCACACTGGTTGACTTAGAAGAACTAAAGGAAAAAAACAACAGCTTTGTTTCAGCTAAAAATGAACTTTTGTGGTCAACCCAGTTGAAAGAAAATTCCAAATCGCTACAAAAAACCCAGCCTTTTGGAGATTTTTGTATTGCAAAAGTTGGTGTTAATATTCACATTAGAAATAATACTGAAGCCACAAGGCAGAAAAAAAAGAGCTAAGCAGAAGTGTGGTGACCAGGGACACGTTTGTACCTGAAACTTTAATCTATGAAGGTTACACTGTAGAATGAAAGGCAGACAAAAGAAAAAAAAACCCAAGCAGGTCAAGTTGTTACTTTTGTACTTTCCAGGAATAATGATTTCCAGAATAACATTGTGTATCCCCAAGGATTTTTGGTGACTTCATTTGGTTTACTGGAAAGAAGAGTTTGTCTATTTTTGACTTGAGGACTGATGAAACTTTAATACCAAAATGCAGTATTTTAATATCTTGCACCATTTGTGTGCCTTTACTGCACCTTTTTAATGTGTTTAACCAATAGCATATATATGTAAGTCAATGGGCAACTGTGCCTCATGTACAGACTGGGCTTGCAGAATGAAGCCAAAGATTACAAAAGGTGTCAGACTTGTTCAATGTGACATTGAAAAAAACAATAAACAACATTTTTAATGTTGTCACTGCTTGTATTTATCTGTCCATAAATGGTCCCCTTGAAACAAGCAACACTTGCAGGTTACTTCTTTCACAATGAAGCAGTAACATCCTTGTAGTAACGGTTATTGCATTCACTAGTTTATTACTATAAAATTTACAATCTTCCCAAGGAGACTGACCTGTGTCCCCTCTCCTGTGTCAGGTTGCCCACTTCCTAATGGAAAGATGCATCTCCCCAGCTCGGTAAAGCGGAAGCTGGGGGAGGAAAAAGGCTACGTGTTTGACAAGCGGCTCAGGTACAACGTGCGACAGAATGAGAACAACTGTCGATTCCGAGACATCGTGGTGAGGAAGGAGGAGGGATTCACGCACGTCCTGTTGTCCAGCCAGACGACGGACAACAACGCTCTGACACCAGAGGTGAGCAGAGGAATGTGACATACATCTTAAAAATGAATGAGTGCAGCTGTACAGTTTCTAATGTGAGGATCAAAGTAGAAGTTGGTATGTTTTTTCTGACACTTTGCAGACAAAACACAGAGATTGTAAATAGAAAAAAAAATTAGCCTAACTCCCATGACCAGTTTTGCTCCGGGAACACTTTTATAGTGACAACTTAATACCCGTTCTTAAATATTACATTCATTTATTTAACTTTTTTATAATCAGGAAATCTCATTTAGATTGAACATTTATTTTGGATTTAGAGAGACCTGGCAAAAGTAGCTGCGAATTAAAATAAAACAAACAAAAAAAAACCTCAGACTCCCATCTGAACAAGTCTTTATTTTTTCCCTTGAATTCACCAACAGATAAGTGCTTGGAATTTTAGATCTTTTAAACGTTTTTTTTCGGTTGCCTGGTTTGCACTAAATGATACAACTTGACTCTGTTGAAGAAACTTTGTTTCATGTACAAGGGTTACAGTGAACAACCAAGAAGTGACTGCTGTGGTTATTCCTCACAACTGTCCCTAAGAGAACAACACCCACCATTAAGTTCTTTCTTTCCTTTTCCATATGAAAAGCGTTGATGTGAATAGCAGTTTCTCTGCCCCCTTGTGTAAGAATGGAAGAATGCGTATGATCTGGAGCGTGGCAGCTAATGAATGGTGCAACTTTTTAAGATGAAACAATTCTCACGTTGTTTCTGTCAGCCCTGCTCACAGGCCGTCTTTATCTGCAGTCTCATGTACAAGGGACCGTCTGCCGTCTTAGAAAATCAAAACATGAAAAAGAGGTCACAACGACCTGACAAAACATGTTTTCTGGCCTGGAACATTAAACTACTTTAGTCAATTATCAATAATGGTGGAAAGAACACAGTTTAAAGAAATCAGTCAGATGAGGCATTGAAGGATACAGGGTGTCGTGATTGTGGTTTTGTTAAACAGCTGCCAGGTGTGAATGTGTTTGTCTGTGAGAATGTACCTCAGCACAGTGCTAAATAAAGAGTACAGATACTGAGCAAAAAAAAAAAGTACCAACCATTAAAATAAAATCTAAAACTCCCTCTTGTAGAGAAGAGAACCATTAGCATTAACGATTTTAAAGATGGCCAGGGATACTCTAAGAATTAGGAGATGTTCAAGTATTGTTTTTGGAGAATGTCACGACCTACACCACTTTCAGGCATACAAGGGGAAATTCTGACCACAATGCAACGTGATTTTTTTTTTCCGCAGCTGCAGATGGTGATTTTCAACAATCAAGTACAGTAAACACAAGAGAGAAACGCTCAGGAAAACAAAGCAATGATATTTTTATTCAAGCAGTATTCATCAGACCTTATTTTCACTTCTGGACCTTTTACAGACTATTGAATCTCATTGTGACCTTGTACGTTGACTGTGCAGACACAGACACTGCAAATGATCTCAAAGGCTGTATTTAAGCCGTCCTGGGCAAACTCTGAAGCCTTGCAAAACAACCAGAAGTGCTCGGCTGATTTCACAAGAAACTGGATATAAATGAAGTTTCAACACGAGGTTACGTCTCATTTGGTTGCTAACATCCATAAACTTCTCCTGAAAGTTCACTCTTTCAAATGCTTTTTTTTATAGATCTTAATACTTTCTTACTTACAATGATTTTTTTTAGACACAAGATAAAAGATCATATCACAACCATATATAGACTGTCGAAGAAAAGCAGTAAATAGTAGGCACCTTTTCTCTTAGATTTCTAAAACTACCATTGAAAAGTGAATGACGTGGGTACAAAGTGAGGTACTTTCACACTGTCTCAGGTGTTGCGTACAAATTCTGGTTTGGACGCACGCTAATTATTTAAATAAATGACTTACGATTATGCTGTATGTAATCATGAACCCACTATATTTAGAAGTGTCTTTAAAGAGTTCTAATTATGAAGGAGCTTCTCTAATTATGAAGGTGCTTATTTACCTGACTTTCTCATTGGCATTCAGTGTGTTTTCCTGTCTCCTTGTGACTAATTACATGCTAACTCCTGTCAATCAAATTCCCTGCTTTTAATTCGTCCACTGTGGATATAAAAGTTCAACTTGTTACTTTAGGTTCGATAAGATTCAGAACCTGCGGTGAACTGCAGGTCGCGATTTTTACCCATACAGTCAGAATTAATTCCGGCACCTGTGCGCCCCGGTTACGATGTCGAACCACAAGTGATTTGTCAAACATCAGTCGTGACGGTGATGGGCCCTGACCCAGATGAATGGGTAGGATGGGGTCAAGAAGGGCAGCAGATGCAAATTACATATGCAAATTGTCCACTTACAGCTCAAAACAGAGGAGCAGACGAAAGTTATCCTTTTTACTGACAGAAAATTCTAGAAAGCTATATATAGAATAAATGTTGCTATAGAAATGAGTTCAGATCAGACTGTGAATGATGGATTGGTCTTTAAACCCCACCCGCCCTTCTCTCTCTCGCTCGCTCGCTCTCTCGCAAGCGCGTACATTTCTTTTTCTTCCTTACTTTTGCATCAGCCATTTCCGTCTATGTTAACTACATCCAAAATTCCAAAGACGGTTTTCTTAAATACCAGATACTGCCAGTAAGAGAACATGGAAGGAAATGCCTGACGTGAGGACTTTAAAGGTTTAGTTTAGGGATATGTAGTCGGTGAGTTTTTACGTTGTGTGTGTGTGTGGTGTGGCTTGGTCTGATTGGACTCAACGGCACCACAGGTACTGGAGGACGCCCCCATCCAACTTGTTACTATTATCCTGACTGGATTTGCTCCTTCGTGTACCAGTTGAAAGTCCTGCTGATAGTATAACGATAAGATAAGAAACGGTTCATTAAATGTGTCTTGGAAATCCATCTTATTGTGTAAGAGGAAATATTTTCTTCCTCTGTGATGTGCCTTCCACAGAGAGCAGCTGTGTCTTTGAAAATGCGTCATGTGAACATCTCTACTTCACAGATACTGAAATGGTTTTTATCTTATTTGTGTGTGTGTGTGTGTGTGTGTGCCGGTGTGTACTTTCATGTTTGACAGTTAGTCTGTAAGACCGCGGGGCTTACAGACTGACTGTCAAACATGAAAGAAATAGGAAAGAAAAGAATAAGAAATAATGCATGTCTGTCCTGATGGCACTTGAAACACAGCATTGAGAAAAAAAAGGCAGGTTCTTTTGTTTTATGAGCAGTGGTGGCTTAGCGGTTAAGGAAGCGGACTTGGGTCCAGAAGGCTTCAGGTTTGAATCCACCAGCTGCCAAGGCACCGTCCCCACACACTGCTCCCCGGGCAGCTTAAAGCTGCCGAATGTTCACTTTCTTCACTTCCTTTACATTCATTGTGGTTTTAAATAAGTCACTAGTCCTCCAGCCATTTCTGGATGTGTAAGAAAATTGTGTCGTTCAATATAGAATCTGTTCAGTTCAGTGCAATTCACAAGGATTAGCCTATTTATCAGCAGAACAATGAAGTACAACTGCCACTTGTGCTCAGCCGGTTCACTTTAACCAACTTCATCCTCTGTGAGTCTGCATTAATCATTAATGTTGGGCCTCCATTAACATTTTTTGAAGTTGCAGTATTTTTGAGGCCTTAATTTGATCTACTCCAATTATTGCCTTTTTCAATTATTCAAGAATGTAATACATGTGATGTAATACATCTTCTGTTCCTTTGACATATAGTAAACATGTTACTGTGGAGCCTGTGGAGCCCCCCCACCCCCCACCCCAGCCCTAGATCATATCTGCTCCATCACAGTTCGTAGCCACAGCAGCTCCCGGAACTTCCCACTTGAAGCTGTCAGACAGACCGTCAAGTCAACAAACTACAGCGAGGCGTCACATAAACATTGACTTTTGAATAAAAATGTTTCAAGTGCATTTTTTATGAGGCTGCAGAGGCTGTGTAGCAGTTTGTAGTAGACAGTGTAGTAGCGGTATGTTGCCGGGAGGAAGTGTGTAGTCTGTATATAGTTTGGTGGAACACAATCATCTGAGAATTATTAAAAATTCAACAAGAATATACAGTAATTCTTTACCCAAACGTGACCTGGTTTCCCAGTGTGTCCATGTATAGGCCTCGAACCCTCTCTATGACTGGCATTCTCTTGACACATTCTACTCCACCCTATGATTATAAAACATCTACTGGATGGATCAGACAGCTGCTATGATGACAAGCTGTAGGTGAAAATAAACTGAGGATAGCAGAGATTTTATAGAGTCAAACAATAATGTCTCATGTTGCACAGCATTTGTAACGATAATTTGAACATGGCATAAAAGACTAAAGTGTGGTCAAACTGACATTGGCTTGTGGTGAGCAGCAGAGTGGCAGGAAGTAAACTCACTCTTGAAAGAGAAGTGTTCCTTTGTTGATAAGTGCGTGGATTGACTTTCTTATTGATGTCTTTTTTTCAGTGAAATAGAGTAAAAGCCTAGATTGTGAAGACCTCCATTTAACTGGAGGATTCAAACCTTCTTTTTATAACTCATATCTTGTCAAGGACGTTTCAGCTGACCTTCTAACGTACCCTCTTCTCCTCTTTATTTAGATCATGAAGGAAGTGTGTCGAGCTCTGGCTAACGCAGCTGCAGATGACAGTAAACTGTTACTGCTCAGTTCCGTCAGACCCTTTTTCTGCAGTGGCCTGGAGCCGTCCTACCTGATTGGACGTCTGTCCACTGACCGCAGGAAAGAGAGCAGCCGCATCGCAGACGCCGTGCGGTAGGACTGTCTCTGCTGCAAACACAGACTGTCTTTTTTACTGGCCATCAGTTTTTTATACTGTACATTTGGTGCTGATTGTTCTCCGACTCTCCTTCAGGGATTTTGTGTTGGCATTTATCCACTTCAAGAAACCCATTGTCGTGGCGATAAATGGGCCGGCTCTTGGCCTGGGGGCTTCGATCCTGCCACTGTGTGACGTGGTGTGGGCCAGTGAAAGAGCCTGGTTCCAACTTCCGTGCGCAGCCATCCATCTGACCCCGTCTGGTTGCTCCTCCTACACCTTTCCACAGATCCTGGGTGTAGCCATGGTTGGTCACCGTGTCATATTTTGCTTTCGCGCAAAATCTGTTGTTACAGCTAATACCATTGCATTTTTAAATAATATTCCTTCTCCAATGGCAGGCCAATGAAATGCTATTTTGTGGAACAAAGATCGCGGCTCAAGAAGCCTGCATTCGAGGCCTGGTGTCCCAAGTTTTCTGGCCAAACACGTTCAACCAAGAAGTGATGCTGCGTGTGAAGGAGATGGCGTCCTGCAGTGCAGTGGTAGGTGTTGATATCAATAGTCTGAGGTTGAAGACCCCTTCATTGAAGTGTAACTACCTCACCACCCCCCATCCCCCGCTGTGTCTGTGTTTGTCAGGTTTTGGAGGAGTCCAAATGTCTGGTGAGGAGTATCGTCATGTCTCTCCTGGAGGAGGTGAACGAGAAGGAGTGTCAGATGCTAAAGCAGCTGCTTTCTTCAACCAAAGGCCTGGAGGCGCTCTTCAGTTACCTTCACGGCAAAGCATAGATAAGTACATGTCCAGAGCCAGGAAAGCAGAGGTGGTTCAAGTCGGGGACACTCAGAGGTGGGAAGTTGTGATCCGCAATCTTTCTTCAGTTCCGTCCGTCCTCACAGAGGACACACAGGAGGTCTGTTTGTTTAAGACCTCACTTCATGACCATCTTTATTGTGTGCTCCTCATCTGGAACACGTAGATGTCCGTTTTCTTTATTGTCAAAGGGCGAAGAGACGAATTAGCATTGCTTAGAAGCTTAGACGTTTTCATAAAATCAATGTCTTTCGGTTAGGACATTTTAATGTGATGTTCAAATATATATATATATATTAATATATATATATATATATATAT